ACTCTCAACCTTCTTGCAGTGCTGCCAAGATTAGTGTTATTCTTCTACCCTGGGCATGCAGAGCACACAGACACACTTAATTTAACAGAGAATTTCTGTATTCTGTATACAGACTATAGTTTCATTCTTTTGATACACCCCTGAGGGTTTTTTTCCCCCCCTATTGATAGTTTCAACATTTTGGTCTCTTATTTTTATCCTTAATTGCAACTTCTTATTTGCACAGTGAGTTGTACTCAGAACCCACTCCTTCATGGCCTTTTTTTCCCTTTATTGTCACTTAAAATGAATTGATAAGCCAAGAACTTAATTTCCACTCTTGTAGGAATATTAAAGTGACCATCTCTACATTACCATTTTTATCACTGCATCTTTAAAACAGCATAATAAAACCCAACCTGCACTAATCAAAGAAAATTCAATGATGCCATTTCTCAATGGACACAGATCAATACTGACTTGTAGAAGACACCAATTTATCACCAAAAAAACCAAACCCAAAATACACACCAATGTACTAGTTCCTTACCAAGTGAGAAACTCCAGATCACTTCGACTTTTTTGCATTTACCTCCTGCCCTAATACCCAAAGTGGGTTTTTTAAACAGCTTATTGGATCAATTACTACACATATATTCTGAAACTCTGCACAGTAAAATCTGTTTTGGGAAAGTTCAACTTGTTGCTTGCTTTTACCATTCAAAATAAATTTAGAGTAGCCAGTCAAACAACTGAGTATTAAAAAGCCACAATTAGAACAGAGAGGATATGCTATACATTAGGCTATTTCTTTTAATACTCTTTAATTTATTACTTTTATTTATTAGTTTTAATTTCAAGTCTCAACTACAGTTTTACTTACCAAGTGGTCTCTAAAAAATCTCCCTGTGAAGTCAAAAACAGTTGTCATATTTTTTAAACCAAAGGGTTCCATTTTCAATATCATTGCATATATATGCTTATACATTAACTTATCAGTAATATAATAATTAATTGCCATCGTAGCACACAGGTTAGGTTTGTCTTGTAGGCAGCTGCTTAATATTTTGTGACACGAACAGGGAAAAGGGAAAAAAAACCCCAAGAATATACTAAAACCAAAGCTATCTTACAAATACTGAAAGAAAAATGACATCTTACTGCAACTGTCACTGAAAAGAACAGCAATAAACTTTGCAAAGGGTCATGAGAATGTGTGTATTCATGATGTCATTCCCTGCAACAAAGAACCACATGGAGGATCCAAACCAATCTATATTGCACAGGACGAACATACACACCGGAACTATAGACCACAGTAGAATAAGGATATACACAGTAGGTACAGGTTGCTGCAAGTCTATCAGTTATTTTCATTCCTTGACACAACTGGTCCCTACATCCACCATCAAGGCCTAAGTTGAGTGGTGGCAAAACTAAGAAAGGAATTAAGTCCAAGAAAACCCAAAAATGACAGTGTGACCGATTATTTTTTAATTTCTTAACTGAAATTTCAGAGATCCCTTCTCAGTAAACTGCGACCTAGCATAGCTCGCTTTAGGTAGAGAAAGGACAGGATGAAAACATGGCTCCATGTGAAGCCATACATATCCAGAGTAACTGTAACCCTTCCTTTCACCAAGTTTAGCAAGAAACATTCAGCACTGCACAGACTTCTCACTTGTTTATTGCTGCAGCAAATGTTTGCTGCAATGTGAATGACATGCTGAACATACCACAAACAGTAGAAGGAGAGCTATTAAAGCCAAAAATATCAAACAGACTGGAAAAGCATTTTGACAAGGAGGAAACATTAAACCAGGTCTTTGTAGCATTTGCTAAATACAGAGGCTCATCATATTTCAGGCCATTTGTATTTAATTGTCCTTTCATCTGAAGAGCAGTGGATATGAATGCACATCAGGCAGCAGATGAGTCAGATGTTCTGAAGAGGTCCAATCAAGGACGCCCCACAACACAAGAGCACTGCATGCAGAGTGTCTCGCACAACTGACTTCAGCTACAGCCTCAAATTTTTTCTCAGTGCCTCCATGGTAGTTATGCACCAAAGCACTGAGAAGAAAATAATAAATAGACCTGCAGTCACAAAGCACAAAAAATTTAAACACACATTCCACACCAGGAACCTCTACACACTCTTTTAAAGCTGCCAGGAAGACACATTCAGATTAGCAGTTATCTGAAAGTTAGGCTTTTGTTCTTCCTTTGTTTCAGCTGAACGGAAAAAAGTGCTCACATCTCTCAGGGTCAATGTTTTAAATGAGCTTGTCACACGAAGCCACGCTCACAACTGAGCAGGTCAATCACAACACTTCAAAAATCAGGTTTTGGAGTGGCAGACACAGACATTATACTGATTTCAGCACAAAGCAAGGAGAAGCCCTGGTCGTTGGTGGAGAAAGTAAGAAAGCCATGGGCATGAAGACAAGGAGTAACACAGGAGGTCAAATCTACTGCGCTGTCCTTGAGGTAAACTAGTGTGTTTTTTATACTGTCCTCTAATCCTTAGATTAGTTTCTCCATTTTGGCAGTAACAATATTAACTGGAGCGCAGAGGCAATCAGCAGACCACAGCTTTGCCAAAAATTCAGTTGAATCATTAGAAATGATTTATAAAAATAGACCATGGATAAAAATCATTAGTCGTAATCCTCAACTGTTAAACTGTCTCTCTGCATTAAACACAAAAATTGGAATTGTTAATTCAAGGTAAACATGGAGAAGAACTCATCTTCTCTGTATTCCATTCAATTCAGCTCTCAAATCAAACCCTGTCTCCATATAACAACAAATGGAGTTTGTGTGTAAACAAAAAACAGCTCACACTCTACAGAGCCTACATACTGCAATTTAAGGCTTTTTTAAGTATAAATTCTAGCTTTGGCATTATTTTGTGATCTTGAAGTGAAACAATTTAGGCTCTTATTATCTGTTTTTTCATTTTCTCATCCACACAGCTCCTCCTAGGGTAGAAATGAAGCTTTTAAATGATCTCCATGCTGTTAACTCTGCAAAGAATGATGCCTGCTCCAGAACACTGCCATTGCTAATCTTTCACATCAGCTCTCTCACAGGTCTATAAAGAAGAACAGCACTGAGGGCAGCAGAATAAAGATGAGATTGTTGTTTCTCTTCCTTCTTCCAGGAATGTATCTGAATACATCCCTTTACTTTCACCGATGACTTGTCCTACCAAGTCTAAGTTCCTCTGTGCAAAAGCTACAGCTGCCTTGGCTTTGTATTGTTCAAGAAACAACAGAACTATGTACTTGAGACACTGCACAAAGCAGAGATGAAAAACAGTGTGAAACAGATTAAAAAATGGAGTTGTCTATAGCTAACTAATGGCAAAAAGTAGGACCACCATATCAAAATGAGTAAGAAAACTGTCTGAGACTCAGTGGAGCCAACACTGACTAAACAAATTATTCATTAGTGCAGCATTACAGGCTCTGAAGATCCACGTCACATCTGAGAGCACACACATCCACAAAACACACGATGGGAAAGGGAAGAAGTTGACTCCAACAAAAGTCTTGCCACAGGAGACTGGCAGAAGGCAGAGAAGCAGTACACACACTGCAGCTGAAGCTGCCAACCTATACTTACCCCGTGAATTTGCTTTGCACAAATCCAGATGACATCAGTCCCTCTTCCCTCATCCACCCATGTTGTAGTCATGTCATAGAAGGCCACAAAATCTGCCAGGCACAGTTTGCCCTGGTGAAGCCATGTTGGCTGTCACCAATCACCTCATTTTCCACATGCCTTAGCACAGTTTCCAGAACAATCAACTCCATGACCTTGCCAGGCACAGAGGTGAGACTGATCAGTCTGTTAGTTCCCCAGGTCTTTCTTATTTCCCTTTTAAAAAACAGGGGCTATGTTGCCCTTTTTCCTGTCAGTGGGAACTTCACCAGACTGCCATGATTTCACAAATATGATGGATAGTGGCTTTGTCAATTCCTCTGACAGTTCCCTCAGGACCCACGGATGCATCACATCAGGTCCCACGGACTCAGGCACCTTCAGGATCCTTAAATGATCTCGATCCTTAAATGATCTACTACAGCAGGCAGCACTTCATTCTCCCTGTCCCCTGCCTTTGCCTTCTGCAGCTTGGGATGTGAGGCTGGAGAACTTTTTGGTTGGTTGGTTGGTTTTAACTCCTTAGCCTTTTTTAGAACAAGTCTATTCTTCAGAAGCTTCATGGATTATCTTTAATCCCTTGCTAAAGTTTAGTGTCCTGGATGACTATACCCTTTGAGAGTGGCAGCTGAGCAGATCGTCAATCTGATATTAAGCCAGTAAGGCTGCACCTTTAACAAAGTCCATCTTCTGCCACCCGTTGTCCTATCTCTGCTTTCCTGAAGGTCTCCCTTTATTCACTTACCCTATATCTCAAACTGTATGTTTATCAAGCAGCACAACAGATCAAAAGTATTGGGCAGAAATCCTGGATTAGCCATCAACCACATGTCTCAGCCACATCAGAACTTTTTTGTTCCTACATTTACAGTACTAGGAATTTCCACTCTCCTCAGCTGCAACAAAAGCCAGGAAAACTGTTTCCATGGATGTGCAAGCCTCTCCCTTGGCTCAGAGGGACCACAACTTGCCATTTGTGAGGTGCTGGTTTTTGGAGTTTCAGACAAAAGAAGCACTGCAACTGGGCCCACCTCACCTGTTAGGCTGCATTGCAGGTGCAGTTGTCTCCTGCATACATTGGTATCTTAGAGAACTTGACATGTTTTGCTAATGGTAATTCTGGTTCCACCAAGGAAAAATCAGTTTCCAAATGCAAAAGACTTTTAAGTGATTTGAAACCATCCAATTGCATTAACTTCTGAGCTTACAGGAAAGTGCAGTGAGGACCTGTGCTGCAGCACATGAAAGGGTTCTATTAGGAAATTGTTCTGATTATTTTACTGCACACACACTCAAAAAAAAAAAAAAAAAGAGAATAAAACAGGAGGGGAAATGGCAATTCACTTCTTTACCTGAGATGCTCCATCTAGGCAAGGCACAGAAATAGGGATGTTACACAACAGCTCCAAGTGTTGATCAGATGCTGTGCACAACTCCTGCCCATCGGGAACCACTGTGTGCCTTCCAAGTTGTCCATAGTCTGCTCTGCCCCAGGTGAATACCTTGCCAGTTTCTAAACACAAAACACAGTTCAAGATTACTTATTCACTAAGTTCCTGGAACATGTGGATACCAGTTCAAAATGAGAACACTTTTTAATGCATCTTATCTAAAGCTTCAAAAGCCTAGTGAAAACTAAGAGCAGAGGAAAAAAACTACATTAAAAACAAGCTAAAGGTATTATGATATCCTTCTGTGCAGTTACTCATACTTCATTAACTTCTTTTCTAGCAGAATAGATGGACTGGACTATAAATAAAACCATATCAGTAAAGCTGCATAACCTGGACATCCTGTATACAATATATACACTTTGGTTATACAAAGGACATGTTTTAGGTTATCAGAAGCACACACAAAACAGCTTATTCTGACACATAAAAGATTACCCAAAAGATGACTCTTTTCTATACCCAGCCTTTGCCATAGAGACATCCATTGCATGACCTGTTTATGTTTTCCTGATAGAAGTTACCTTCTATCACCATTACTGTTAGCAGAGTAACAGCTCTCAGGACAGCAGCTGGTTATTTGGGAACACCATCACAACTGCCATTAAGTATTGGAAATGCACTGGGTTTTTTTCACAGGAATCACACATTGGCTGAGGGAAGATAACTTTAAATGAAATCAGCAATATATGGATCACCCTTTTTTCCACATAATATTTCAGGTTCACTGCCGCAGGACTGACACCCAAACCACCATTCTCCAGTATGGATAACATCCATAAAGCAATGCTTTTTACCTTTAGTCCCCAAAATTTCAAGGAAAAAATAATGTAATACTAAGTGACAGCTTTATTTTCTTAATGAAGTGACTAGACCTCTGCAGGAAAGTCATGAAATGTTGTCCCTTCTGGGCTTCCAATATAAAAAGCTAGATACAGACAGCATAACACTATGTTCTCAGCTTGGTTTTAACTAGAAGCAGCAATCCCCATTCCAGCCCAGAAAGAAACCTGCAATGACCTTGAGTTATATGCACACTTCAGCCAAGCCTCAAATTGCTCTCCAGAGTTGAACTCAAGTCATCAAGTTTATAAGCCAAATGATGTGGATTTGAGGAAAATACCACCCAGTCAAGCAAGTCAGCTTAAACACACACACTTCTCCCTGTCAGTCAGTACATACATCACCACAGAGGGGTCGGGCACAGGGGGTATGGGTCACACTGCTCAAAGATGATCACTGAGGGGTTTCTAAACTTAACATAAACCTCTGGAAATCTGAACACCTCCCTTTTCCTTTGGGTTCTGTTAAATTGTCTTGAAAGGGACACAGGTGAGCACTGCTGGTTTGTGCAGTTTAAGGTAATAATGTATTTTGTAAATAAACTGGAAACCTCAATTCATATACACAAGAAGTATATGCATTTTCCTTGGAAACCTGCTAGCAGTGGTATCTTTCACTCCAATCACTGGAAGGTTTTCAGATGCCTTCTCTCAGTTCACTGATAATGCCTCCCCTGAAATAATTAAGTGATAAAATTAGTTGTCCTTTTCTCTCAAGGGCACAAAGATTTTCTTCCTTTGCAGCTTCCTAGTAGCTAGGGAAAAGTTGAAAGCAGTCACATCCTACTTTCAATAAAAGTGAGGTCTTTTAACACAGTAGTTACATTTTGTTAGGTTAAAGGATTAAAATAAGTTTAATTAACAGAACTACCAGTATACCCTACAGAGATTAGGAAGCCAGTTTGCAGTTTAAAAAACAGTCTTATTCTGAAGGTTGTATATTTACTTTGTAATTTATATAGAACTCTGCTAAAAACAGGTAAGCAATGTATTGACAATACAGACCCAGATCCTCACACACAGTCTACAGTACCATTCTGTACACAGAGGCAGTAAAGGTTTCTCTCAACTCTACCTTTTGAGGGGCAAAAACACCTCTTTCCCCAACCAAATCTGGTGCTCCACCTGCACCCAGCCATGAACAGGAAAAACCAGGCACTCATAGAACAAAAAATGATCCTTTGCATCATCCCATCAGGGTACAGTTTTCTGAGGACTAGAGGGAATGGTCAAGGACTAGAGGGAATGGCCATAAGATGAGACAGGGGAGAGTCAGATTAGATGTTAGGAAAAATGGTTTCCCTGTCAGGGTGTTCAGGTACTGGAATCCCTATCTGCCCAAGGAGGTGGTGGAGTCACCATCCCTGGAAGTGTTTAAGAGGTGTCTGGATCTGGCACTGGAAGGTACAGTTTAGTGTTTAGGGGTTACAGCAGTGACAGGTTAATGGTTGGACTTGATGATTTTACAGGTCTCTTCCAACCTTGATGATTCTATGATTCTACTGCTCCAGTGGATCTGAAGAGTGCAAACATATATGAAGGATTAAAACAGCAATAATACTTCACTACAATAAAGCACCTTCCATCCACAGATTCTATTTCCTTTCACTGGACAAGCAAGCAAAGAATTACTTACACATGCAAAAGCACATACAAACAGTACCTTTAGGAGAATGTAAACTGTTTCTGATTACAAACAGAAATAATTGCAAATAACTTGTTCATTTTTGCAACTCCAAAGGAAACAAGTTTCAGGTGGTTATTGGTAGGCAAACATGGAGAACAGCCATTTAAAAAAAAAACTAAAGCCAGATAAATTAAATTTTGCTTTTAGGAAGAATTCCTTGAATGCCCAAAGCTTAGGTAAGCAATCAGTTCTTTCTCAGTGCTTACAAATTCAGTTCTCACTTCTTATTGAGAGCTATTTCTTCCCCAGACTAGTTCCTGTTTGATGAGCATTCCTCCTCCCATGCTCAGCCTCCTGCTAATGGTCAATTATTTCTATTTTTCAGCCAAAAACATCTGCCTAGCAATCCTTTAAAAAAAAAAAAAAAAAAAAAAAAAAAAAGGACATACATCTGTCTTTTCCGTGACAGAAACTAACAGAAGCTGATTTAGATGTGCTTTCTCTATGAAATACTGATTATACTTCAGCAAACAAACAAAACAGTCTCAAGTGGAAATGTCAGGCTGAGGCAAACACCAGTGCATGGAAAATTCCACCAAAGGTTAAAGTCTCGTCAAAATCCTGAGCAAAAGAAAGCACTGAGCTATGACAGAAAGCATTCAGCAATTGCAGTCAGAGGTATTGCTACTGTGCTGCCTATAATATAGATGGTATTTTAAAATGTTCTAAGAATATTTGAGAAAAAGACATTAGTCATACAGAGTAAGGAGGCTGCAGGATGAATTACTTAAGAATGAAGGGTGATATAACAAGGAGAGTTGGTCTAATATTAGACTAGAACAGATTTTAATTAGAAGTCAAGAAAACATACACAGTGATGAGTCAACTGGACAGAGTACATCAGCCATGGAAGTGGCTGAGGCATCAGAAAATGAGATATTTCATGCCAGACTATACAGTAAGAGGGCACACAAAAGGCAGGAGTTATTTCTACAACTTGTGTGAAAGAAAGAAGCATACAACATTGGAAAGCTTTTCCAGTTCTTCTAAGGTACTAATAATGCTTCTTAAGACTTGAATCTTGCCATGTTCAGAGCATGAAGGCTCCAATTCCAAAAGGTACTTCAACTCCTCTACTGTGAACATACACATTGTCCCAGATGACTTTACAGCAACTGTTCATCTTTTCAGCAGGCAAATGCCATATCAAATAAAGGCCAGAGGGTTCAGTACCACTTGGAATTAAGGAGTGATAGATAAAATTCATGCACCCTGTGTCACTCCAGTGTACAACCTGAATGAACCATATAAGTACAGGAGTTCAGAAAGCTATAAAAAGGAAGAAAATCTTCCAGACAGCCCCTTAAGTAAACCATTTTCTCATGGTCTTTGAACTGTAAACACAGCAGTCTGCATCAGTGTACACACAGCAGCAAATCATCCAAAACACATGCTCAGCCCTCCCAGAATATGGATGAAGGTACATACATATTCAAGTGCTTGAAGCACTACACTAGCAAATCACTATCAGGAAGGTTCCTCTGCATTTTTTTCATATTATCCTTCTGTCCTTATGTAAAACAAAGCGTAGACAGTTGAGAATGGGCCCAAAATTACAAGTTCATGGCCTCTGGAATTTTGCAGATCCAGCAACATTGCACAAAGCACCTCTAGTTTCTTCCTGCCTGACACTAGCTCTTTCTGTGCTGCTTCATGCTGCTGCTGCTGAGGCTGTAGAGCATGTCATTTTTCCCTTTTACCACTTTCTTAATCAGTCTGTTCAACCACCGATGTATTTGGAGAGCATCAGCAATAAAACAGGTTGGTTTCTCAGTAAAACACAACAGACAAATCGGCACATAAAAATTTACTTATTTTCACTAGATTCAGATGTATCTTTTTATCAATTTTCCTGTTTTAAGATAATATCATGATTGCACTGGTGTTATCTCCTTGAAGTCTCTATTTGGTATCCAGGCAAGCTTTAAATTCTCCTTCATAAATACAAGATGAAAGGGTTCATCTAGGCTATCTCAATTCATGGTTACATTAATGATTACTTTTCAAATGAACTCTGGATATTCACACTGAATGCTTAATCTCAGGCTCGAAATATGAAGTTCTATATAAAATTCCTAATGCCTCCCTTCACTGGAAAATTCACAGGAGCAGGCATTAAAAACTGACATTTAGAAGCTGCCTCTTGCCTCCTCCCTGACCCACATAGAGCAACACTTCTCCCACATCTACAGATATCTGCTGTCCTTCAGGACAATCACTAATGTCCTTCAACTATTCTGACAAACTTCCTCATCCTCTAGAAACAGCCTTTGTGCAGGGCAACCTTACAGAAGAACATTTGTCCATCCATCCTCAATTCCTTCTTCGCTGAAGACAACTTCAACTCAGCAGCTAGAGACTTGGACCTGTACAGCCTAACACCTGTACCTGTGCTCAGGACAAAGCAGGATTATCTGTTCTGACAAAGGTTTAAATGGTCCCTTGATCCTCTTAGACAGGAGTTCAGTGTACCAGAGTTGTCCACATCTCTTCACACATCTTTCTGTGACCTCCTTACAGACTTCTGCAACTT